AAAAAAAAAAAAAAAAAAAAAAAAAAAAAAAAAATTCAACTTGTTACATTGGTCGGACGTTTGGCCAAGTAGATGGCCATTATTTTTGGACTTATTCAGCCTGGTTACTACGTATCACTGTACTGTAAAGTCTAATTGTATTTGTCACAGATGAATATCACTCAAATCTAATGGTTAACTTGATATTTGCAATTTTGAAATGTAGAATGCTTGGACGAAGCAATGGATAGGACCTTCTAGGCTTGATCTTCTAAGTCTTGGGAAAATCTTGATTGTCTTTTTTTTTTTTCAAAAGAAAATATGGTTCAGATAAACTGTTTGGAAAATGTGCACCGTCTGTTGAAAAGTCATCCAAGGACGGAACCGTCTAGTGGTACCAGCACACCAACCAAAAATTCGCCAAACGGTGACTCAGATAGCTCTTTGCCGGTGCTCGAAGAAGAAAGTACTGACAGGTAAATAGCTATGAAAAAAACACAACCTTTATTGTAGGGAAATTTTATTAGTTTTCTTCTTGAGTGGTCTTCCGTATATATATATATATATATATATATATAAGGGAAGATACATTTGAGATAAATGAACAATGTGACCGTGCCAGTCGTCAAAGAGGTACAACGTGAAATTAATATGCACCGCTTCTGCTCAATACTTGCTATGAAAAAACGAAAAAATTGAAAATTTATTCGAAAGCTACATTGTTTCAAGAATAGAAAAAAGTTATATTTTGTCTTTGATAGTTGCTTCTTCTTTGTCTTTCATTTCCATCAAATGAAAAGTTTAGAGTTTTGTGGACAGGACCTGCTTTCAGTTTTTTTCTCCTCTCATTTTTTTCTCAATTTTTAATTTTTGTTTTCGAACTTGTCTTCAAAATATAAAATTTTCTTTCAAATAACTATTTGAAATGCTGTTAAAAAAGCTTAGTTTTTTTCCATTACGGGAATATGCATATAAATAAATCTCTTTTTATCTACTGGAACAATGTAGAGTGATCGAGTTTAACTGGAAAAGAAAAGGAAAAAAACAGTTGTGCCTTTCTCGTTGTAGGAAAGTACTGGATGACGGTATCGCAATGCCGTTAACACGGGAACTGTTACAACAGCATACTCGCCGGTGGGAGCAGGAGTATCGTGATACGTGGCGAAGACGTTTGAACCTTAAACGATGCATGCAGGTCCTTTATTAGACAGCAATATCATTGTTGCTTACTGAATTTGTTTTGCTGATCATGATCGAGTGGCTTTGCTTCTGTTTTAGCAACAAAACAACAGTTCTTCACCAGTATCGGCAAAAATATTCAGAGAATATCAACAGAAATCTGGCACTACAACACCACAGATTGCATTGCCAAATGTGGAAAATGCAAGAAATGAGTACTGGAATGCTGCAAGTAAAGAAGAATATTACAGAAGTTTAGGGCCAAATCCGCCACCTCCACCTGGAAGAAATTTTCAGGCAATTTCTATTGCATTTCACGGAAATACAAAATAAAAGAAGGGCACCTTAATTTTTTATGTTTTTTAGAGAAAGGCACGTAGGTTTTAGTTTTTCGTCCAAAAATGTCATTTTTTTCAAATGATCTGGACCACTTGACGCCGCAACGATGGATGAGTAGCAGTATTGTGAACGATTAGTAAATGAATTGTGAATAATCGTTTTTTCAGATAACATCGGTTCCTTTGCCCCTACCTTTGCCAGTTGATAAACGTCGTTCAGCATTTGTTTCTGTGAAAACCACATCTTCGCCGAATCATTTGAGAAGCAAATCACTTCTCGAGCTTCCACAACCGATCAACCTGTGCATCAATGATCCGGCGACAGCTTCATCACCGATTGATGTTTCGGAGCATTCTCAACGCCTGCTCATTCAGGCTGCATTAAGGAACAATTCTCAACAACAACAAAAACTACAGCACCAGCAGCTACAAAAAAACGAACCATTAATGATTCCAGCAACTGGAAATCTGTTATATAATCTCTCCGATTGGAAATCGGAACAGTGTTATGAACGTTTGGACAGTTGTGCAGCACATTTAATTAGTCTTTCTCAGCGTAGCAAAGATTTACAACAACAGCTTGAACAACAACATCTCTGCTCACCATTATCAAAATCACCAGTTGAGGAAGCAACCGATGCTTTAATGTTGTTGCAGGACACCGTGTAAAGTCCTTCTTTAATTTACAATTTTAATTTTTTGACGGTTTTTTGTCTTGTAATTTGATAGCGTGTCATTAACAAATTTGCCATTATGAAAGAACAAGAAAGAAATTTCCGTTTTTTTCTGTGTAGCGCTTTTCCTTTTGTTTTACGGCTTATATATATATATATATATATATATATATAAGTTATAAAAGAAACGGATTTTCAGTAGCAGAAGAAAGAAAACAGGCAAATCTTAACTTTAGAAAATTGAACATTCAAATTTTATAGTAGCAACAACATTTGTATCAAATGTTATTGTTGCTGCCTTGTTATTGTTATTACTGCTGTTTTTTCTGTTTATCACTACTTTTCTTTATTGTTGATGACATTTATTGTGGGGAAAAAAAGGCTTTGAGGGTGGTGATTGGAAGGTAGGAAAATAGAAAGGAAGTCTTGAAAAAAAATGTTGGTTTAACTGGTACTTTCATTTTTGTAGGGTTTTTTGCTTGTCTTCCCTACTCAGACATTAAAGAAGTAATTTAGGCGATATTTTCAACTGTTTAATTCCTCCTACTTCTTCTCTTTTTCTTATTTTCAGTCAAATCAACTGAAAGAAAGGAGGAGGAATAAAAAATTGGCATATTTTGGCGCTGCGGTAATAACTTAACAAAGTTAAAAAAAGAGATTTATTAAGGATTACAGCAAAGAAAACTAACTTATTAACTATTATGGTAATTGTTTTTACTATGCTTTTTCTTTTTTGTTATCTTGATCATTTTTAATCTTTGTATCTATAAGGCAGCCTTTTTTCCAAAGCTACTAAGGTTGTTTTATGGTGTGCTCTATAACTGCCACAATCTTATTTTTTGGTTCTTCTCTGTTTAGTTTAATTATTCTTTTCTTCAAAACAAAAAAAAACATTCTCCTTTTTTACAACTTTAAACTTTTAACTGTTTTTTTCTCTTTATCTAGTTTTTCTAAGTTTGAAGCTTCTGTTAATTTTGTTATCAAAATCAATTGTTTTCCGTCACTTTTGTTGTTTGTTGTTAGTAATGTAAGCATCATTTAAGCCACATATATCATCGTCGTCATCAACAACGTCTTCATGAGCATCATTGCCACCATTACCACCACCGTCCTCTTTATCATTATAGTCATTAACTTTTTTCAGTTTTTGTAGTCAACAAATATTAAAAAAGCAAAACTATAGAATTTTGCAAGCAAAAAAAATTGTTTCTCACACCAATGTCTTTCTAGTTCGGAAGGATTTGTTGCCCATATGAGTCCTTCCATGTTCTTCCAGCCTGCTGTTAGCCCAAAATCTTCCTTCGAAAAAATTTACGCTGAAATATTTAGAAAATAAATGAAATTTTCTATTTTTCTTTCCCTCTTTTTTCTTTTTATTTCTTATCAATTTTTCACTTGTTCCTTCCTCTACTTCATTGTTGTCGTTTTTCATTTGGCTTAGTTTTAAGACCAAATACAATGGCAAAAAAAAAACTTGCAAATTCATTTGAACGAAAGCTTGACGGATAAGCTTTTTTTGTTGTTCCGAGCTCGACCGTGCCGTTTTCATCGGTACTCGTTTAGTTGAAAATTCCGGTGGGCGAGGTTTCTAGTTGGCGCGGTTTCTCACAAATACCGGTGGCGGCTCATAATAAGCAACAGTCAGTTGTATCGTGCCAATTGATGAAGCTTCGCCAACAAGGAGTTGAAGGAAAACAGTTAGTGCAACTGCATGGTGGTTATTGACGACGAGCGCATAAGCATTAGACGTCTTTAAGCATCAGTGTCAGGAAGCTACTGGTCAAAAAAAAAAAAAAGGAGAAAGAGAAAGAGAAAGAGGAAGAGAAAGTGAAGAAGAAAAGGTAGTTTACGATAAAACTTATAAAATTTTAGAATAAATAGATTCGAAGTTGTCTTATAAGTTGACTAGTCAACTGACAGCTAATTTATAACTCAACCAACCAGCTAACTAACTGTCTTGATTTTTTTTTTTTCATTTTATTGTTGTGAACCAATTGTCTAATTTTGAACAAATTTAAAAAAGTTGTACCAAAAAGATGAGAATTATTACTGTATATCTGTGGTTTGTATATGTATTATGAGTTTATTTTCTTTGTTATTTTCATGCTGTAAAAATAATTTTTGTAATTCAAT